GGCATGGGGTCAGGAAAGAGCTCCCAGCTGCTACCTGGCTGTGGTTTCCACTTCGGCACAGCATAAACACACATAGCTTTAACAAGTGAAAACAGAAGAAATGGTGAATGTGCGCATCTGAGTGTGCACATACATGGCCACCCTCAGGCGCCCACTCTACCCCTTCTCCTGCAGGGACAGCCCTCTTAGCCAAATGGCCCTGGAACCTGGCCCTTCTTCCTGGAGCCTCCCTCATCTTCCTCTCCACGTTCCCAATGCCAGCCCACGTTGCTCTACACCTGAATGACTAAACTGAGCCTCCCACACCTGCAAGTGGCAGTGGGGAATGGAAAAAGACAGAGGAGAAAGATGCAAACTCCCCTGGCCAAGCAGGTGCTTATCTGCATCCAGGGATACGATGCAGGGGATGGGCTCGGGCTTTGGCTCACCACCGAGAAGGAAACGATGCTGATGGCAAGCAGAGAGACAGGGAAGAGGCTTGCCTCTCCCCACCAAGCATGGGGCCTTTCACTCACCAAGGGTTCAACACATACTTCAATAATGAATAGGGGATATCAGAGGGCCTGTAGATGGGGCATTTATTGTGGTGCAGCAGTTCAGCTGCTATGTGGGACCACTGTTCCCCATATCAGATGGAGTGCCCTCCTCTGCTTCTAATCCAGCTTCCTGCTCAAGCACACCCATGGGAGGCAGCAGGGGATGCCTAAGTATGTGGGTCCCTGCCACCCACATGCAAGACAGAGAATGACTTCCTGGTTCATGGCTTCAGTCGGTCGCAGCTAGGGGAAAATGAGCCAGCAGACAAATCTTTGTCTCTTTTTCTGGGTCACTTTGCCTTTCAGATAGATAAAAAGAAATACATTTTCAAATCTCTGTAAAAGTGTTGAATGCAATGGGGGGGAGGGGTTGTCAGAGCTTTGGGAGAACAGGAAGGCCAATAGGGATTCCGGGGCAGGAAGAGCTCCAAGCCAGAGTCATTAAGCAAGGAAATAATCAGACAACTGCTCTAGGGATGCAGTGCACACAGAGGTGTGGAAGTGATGGGAACTCCTATTTTGTTTTTCAGCAAATCCTGTCAGCCCCTTCAAGCACCTCCAGTGATCCTTCCCGGGAGGCAAAGGCAGTTATGGCAGCATGCCCAGCGGGAGGCATGGCTCCCTGTGTGCCCAAAAGAGACAGAACAGGTGGCATAAAGAGATAAGCCCAGGGGCCCGCAGGGCATCCAGCCACCTGCCTGGGATTCCGTTCTAATGAATGACTGGGAAAGAAGAGGAACTGTTCCCCAGAAGGCGGGGTAGCAGCTCAGTGCTCCCCAAAACATTCCAGGTACACTGGTCACATAGCCGAGACTGTATTTCTAACAAGCTTTCAGGAGCTGCCCGTGCCACCGCGCACCGGTTACAGACCACACTTTAATTTACAAGGATTCTTTTGTCATTAGCAGCCAGCCTGGCATAAAGCATATTTCTTAAAAACAAACAAAATTATGTCAAATGAATGAACAGATGAATGGGAAGGTGAGGACTTTCTGCTACTTAAACCGTCTCGAACAGTAAAATACAGATGCCCAGTCTCTAGGCCTGGAGGTTCTCAAACCAGCAGGCTTGCGGTCACGGTGGGGACAGTCTTCCCCTTTCAACCCTCTCGTCCGTTAGGCGAGTTTCTTCAGCAAGCCAGGCTGGGGACAACGATCTAACGCGCAGCATGGGTGTACTCTGAAGTCTTAGTCCAAGCCAGAGGCTCAGAGATGCCCCAAGGGGGAAACCGGGACTGCAGGGAAGGGTGGGAAGGCCTTTGACACACCTGATGGGAGACTCCGGGTTCCTGGGGATGGGGACCAGGGGGCGGGGGCGGGGGCATCGCCGTCTCACCACTTGAAGATGAGGTTGAGCCACTCGGTGACGAGGCTGATCCAGAGCACCGCGACGCCCACGCGGCGCCGGGCATAGTAGGCCGCAGGGAAGTAGAACAGAAAGAGGCTCTTCGGGTCGCCCAGAAAGGTGACCCAGAGCCAAACGTTCTCCAGCCAAGGTAGCCGGTTCTGCAGCGCCTCGGCCATCGCAATGCCCGCGCCCAGCGTGGACTCCATGGCGGCCGCGGGACGGGATAAACCCGGCTCTGGCTGCGCTGGGGCGAAGCCGAGCACTCCCGGCCACAGGCAGGCGGCTGGCTACCGGCTGCCCTCCGAAGCCCACCCTCCCGGCCCGCGGCCGGTGCCAAGCCCCGCCCCCGGCAGCCCCAGGCTCGCGGCAGTCCTCGTCGTGGGGCTTCTGGGTTTATATTGTTTGCTCCTGCGCTCTTCACCAGGCCAGCCTTTCTACTGGGCGGCGCAGGGGACAAACCTTCCCCAAAGCGTTTCCTCAGCGCCCCACGTGGCCGCTGTTGCTCGCACGTGGACGTCCAGCCGGCGAGGTGGCGATACCGGCTGTTGTTCCGGGTCATGGGACTGACCAACCCGCGCGCCCGGGTCTGTCCGAGCCCTTCCTGTCCTGCAGGTAGAAGTGGGCTCGTGAGACTAGGCTCCTTTCCAGACCCGACCTCTTTTCTCGAGTACCGCCACGCCCCAAACGAAATCTGCACAGATTCAGATATATATCTCTTGGAGAACAAGCTACCGGCAGCCCTGAATTTACACACATCCTTCATACTTAATCCCTCCATGCTGCCCCTTGCCCCCCTCCCACCCATTGTTCAGATGGCCTTGCCTTTTTATTTCGAGAGATCTTGGCTAAAGACTTGGGAACTGATCCCAAGTCGTACTTCCAAGTCCCCCTACCTGCAGTACACACACCATATGACAGTTTGGGTGTGGACAGAGGAGGGGCCACCACCCCTCCAGCTCCAGTTCCCACTGAGCCCTGAGAAGGAGTACACTCCCACAAAAGGAGTCTTGGCAGGTGCAGGCGAGGAGGGCCTACTTGCACCAAGAGGTAGAGCAGTGGCAGGAGACGGTTGGAATGGCTCCCCTATTCTGGAAGTTTTCTGACCTGTAGCCATCTATGTAGCCATCTACCAAGAATGTAAGACTAGGTCTTCCTGGAAAGTTATTTATTTCATTAATTAAAAAGGGAAGGAAACAATATAAATCTGTTTACTCCCTTACTAAAGGTTTTCAGGTGCCCCAAGGAGAAAAGTGAACAGTAGGTCCTAGCTCTAGTTTGAGCCTTCACAGCCCCCCAATCCCCACACTCCCTATTGTTGGGCTACAGTCAGTCTTCTCAGCTATCCTGGCTATGGGGCTCTCCCTGCCTTGAACTCTCCCTGATGTTTCTACAGATCTCAGGTATTTTGCTTCTTTTTAAGAGTGCCTGAAGTCCCAGGAAAGTATAAAACTTAAACTGCCAGTCTCCCTGTTATACACAGATTCACTTGCCACAGTGTGAACCCCAGTCTGGAAATCTTAAGTGAATATTCAATTTTCTGCCATTCTGAGGGACTCCATGCCATCTGGCCCAAGATGTCAATCACCCCTTTGTCCAGGTTGTCCCTGCTGTGTTTGCCACCCATGGGGTAGGTCACTTAGGGGTCATCCTGCACATCAGATCAACGGCCTAAATTACTATGGGGTCAGGTGGTTGAGTTCAAGTGACCATTGTTTTGCTGCAGAATGAACCCAAGACACGTCAGCAGTAGTGGTGCTGGCAGCTCAGAGGCGCCAGAGAGGAGTGACAAGCCACTTCTTTGTAGTGAAAAGGTAAATATAGCACTTTGAGAGAAATCCTTCTTAGAGTCCATTGTTGTAACTGTTGCATTTTATTGTTAGTTGTTGCATTTCTCTTTGCTGAGTTTGTGAACTAAGCTTTATGGTATGAATGTACATGTGGGAACAAACTTAGGACATACGGGGTTTGGTACTGTCAGGGAACTTCAGGCTGCAATCACAATGTCAAGGTCAAAGTGGAGTGACAGGTGCCTGTGGCTTGTTGTGGGAACCAAAACAAGGATGAGACAGGACACTTCTCTCACAACATAAGAGTGAAAGAAAACAGGATTTTATTCCTCTTACAATAATTGTGCCCATACCCTCAGCACCAGGAAGTTTCTGTCAACAGTGTAATGAAACATTTTTGAACTTTGTTCAGGCTAGCAGTGTCAACACAAGCCCTTGGCCTCCCTCTGGGACTATCTGGTTTTTGCACATGAGGTTCCAAAATGTCTGTATTGAAGGGGTGGATGGGTTAGGGATGGCAATCGGTGGTGAGGGGCTTGAAAATGCAAATGGCATAATCCTTTGTTCAAGGTCAGGGAAATAACTGTTCAGCGGGACTCTGACTCCCCAAGCTGCCTTCATCTTGTCAAGGTTCCTCAGGCCTGGCCTGGCTTTCAGGACCAGATGGTGACCATACACAAACTGTCAGCCATTCGTGAAAGACCTAGTGCATGCTACACACGTACACATATGAGCTCTTTTAAACCCGTTAAGTGTTCTCTGAGGCAGCTCTTGCTGTCCACTATACAGTGACAACCAATAACAAACCTAGTTTGTTAATAAGCAGGCCCTGGGTCAGCTATAGTCTCAAGACTTAACTTCTTCATCTCTAAGCGGAGGCACTGATTCCTACCTCACAGGGTTGCTGGATGCTCAGTAAGGGATACTATTCATGCCCGAGAAGGCACAGGGTACATGAGCCATCTGCCCGAGGTCACATAATTGACTAGGATTCACTTTGGTTTCTCAAACATTACAGCCAAGGTTCTCCTCCCAATCACTGTGATTCATGATAATCACCTTGAGCTAGTGTCATGGAGTCCTCTGGACTTCCAACTCCTCTCCCGCGTAAAATGGGGATATCGGGCATTGAGTGTTCATTCATTAAATTCTGGTGGGCAAGGCATGCCTGCCTTTCGCAGTCTATGTTCTTTCCTCTTTCACGAAGATCACTTATCTCTAGCTCCTAAAGATGCACCCTAAAGCACTTGGCCAGGCGAGGGCAGCTGGACAGGCAGTATTAACTCTATTCCGAATTTCCCCTGATTTCTTCCTCTTTCTCTATTCCCACTCTGGCTCCCGTCCCACCCAGCGCCAGGCCACGCCCAGGCGCGTGACGTCAGCACGCCCCGTGCGTGCGTCGCGGCGCACACTGGGGCCCGGCTTTCGCCTGCTGCCGCCGCCGCGGCTGCTCTCCCAAGATGGCGGCTCCTCCGGGCGAGTACTTCAGCGTTGGGAGCCAGGTGTCGTGCCGGACGTGCCAGGAACAGCGGCTGCAGGGCGAGGTGGTAGCCTTTGATTACCAGTCCAAAATGCTGGCTTTAAGTATCCTTCCCTGCGTGGAGCCCGAGGCCGGGCTGGCGTGGAGGTGCGGCGGTGGTGGGGTGGGGGACGCCAGCGGCGGCTGGGGCCCTCTCCGGGCCTAGGGGCGACCGGCTACCGCGGCGCCCGGGGCGCATGCGCACGGCCCCGGACTCCCCTCCCCCTCCCGCGGGCCCTTCGGTCTGGCTTTGGGAATCCTGTCTCCTCTCCCTTGTGGGAAGCTGGGTCCCGACCGAAGGCCGACTGGTGGAGGGGGGCTTGACACGCGGAAGGGCTTTTCCAGGGTGAACACCGTGCAAGGAGGGGGGACACTGGTTAGGAAGGAGGTGGTAGTGGGAGAGGAGCCCGGATGGAAAGGGGAGCGGGTGAAATGCTACGGGGAGGGGGTGTGTAGGGTAAGGAACTGCTGAAAGGGCAGGGGGTGAGATTTTAGAAAGGGGTGTCCACTGATGGGATCTGATCCGAGGAGAGGGCGGTTGGGATGGTGACCCGAGGGGCCTTATGTCCAGGGGCAGTTTGTCCGAGCTGGGATCGGTGGCTTATGGTGTTAGTCCTCGTGTGTGCATGGTGCTGTTGGTGGGGTGTGCCGATTTTTAGGTTTCTTGGTCGTTTTGAAATTGCTGCTTTGAAGAGGTTTGCGTTGGAAACGTGGTCCAGACAGAACTGCACTTTTTTGGGGGGTGAGGGGAGCTTGTGATTGTGACTTAGTTGTACAGGTAACTTTGCCATCCTAGTAGTCTCCCTTTACAGAAGCTAGCCATGTTAAGCTGGAAAAGGTGGCTTCCTCCTTAGGGGTGGAAATGATTTTTAAATTAATCCAGTAAGCTCAGCCTTGGAAACAAATTGGGATAACTGTGCCTTCGGGTCCCTTTTGATTGGAGCTACAGGTGGGTTTATGTGGATTTTTTTTTTTTTTTTCTTTTTGGAGTAGTAGTCCTTTATAGCATCTTTCAAAATGAAGCTTCCTGCTAAGGCCTTTGAATGGCAAGTATTTTAATTCATTTCACCACTAGTTGTAGATTTCTAGCTAGGATGATGACTAGATGCAGTTGGAGCAATCGCGTCTGTTTTTGGTTGGTTTATTTATTTTAGGCACGAGGTCACACCTGGACTAAATAAGCCCTTTTTACACTAGTGCTTTTCCTTGCAAGGGTCTTGGATTGAGGAAATAACCTTTCATTTAATTAGCATGCCGCAGGCCCTTAGTAAATGGCTGGACCAAGAGCAAGTGAATGAATGAGAGAATGGCTTATCTAGTGAGGTCACTCACGCAGTAGTTTCCTTTCCAGTGCTGTGGTTTTCTCTTCTGCACGTTGGGAAATCTCACATTTGAACAATATGAAAAGAGTACCATAGGAGGTTCTGCATCAATAACAGAAAATTCTAGCCCTTCTTGGTGATCTGTAGGTTCTAAACAGCATACAAGACATTAAACCCGCACTGTGTAAAGCTGCAGAGAGAAGGCGACAGAAATGTTTTTTGTGTCCTCCCATTTTGGAGGTTGAGAAATTTGGGAACTTTGGGTTAGTAGTTTGGGCTGGAGGAAGCCTTCCTGAAGGGAGCAGTGATTGGGGAGGCCGTCCGGGTTTGTGTGATGGCCTGTCTCCCTGGGGTGGTTCAGTGCCTCTGCTGTTCCCGTTTTCCTTAACTTTTTTTTCTCACCAGAATGCCCCTCTTCCAGTGGAAAGCCCAACCATGCAGACATTTTGCTCATAAACCTACAGTACGTTTCCGAAGTGGAAATAATTAATGATCGAACAGAAACCCCTCCTCCTCTCGCTTCTCTCAACGTTAGTAAGGTAAGGACTCAAGGGCATAGCTGGCTGGCACGTGGGAGTGGTGGCAAAGTGGAAAAGCCAGATCTCTACGCTCTCTGATATCTGGGCATTTTTGATCAGTTTAATTTTTTTGAAATATTTTGAATGCTCATATAAACTTGAGAGCTTTTGCTGCTGTTGTGCTTTGCCAAAGGAAGTTTTTTTTTTTTTTAAGCCTATTGTAGTCTGTTCATAAACTTCTGGTGGCGGTGGGTTTGGATGGGGGTGTTGCCGTTGCGTGTATGTGGTTTCTGTGTATGTGTACGTGAATGTGTGTGTTTCTTGGGTGAATTTCTGCAGTATTTTTTATATTCTCAGAGGGATTCATGACTTAGAAGAACTTTGAGAACCATTGCCTTGGAGTTTCCTTTTTCTCTGAATTTGGAAGTCATATGTAGTTGGATATTTAGGAATTTTAATCTTACATGTACACGTGATCTCTGGGAAACTCCTAGCCAAGTTCGTGTTAGTGATGCTGTAGGTGATGGCGCCTGATCCTTGTTGTAACTGGCACTTGGGATGCTCTTCCTTCCAGAACAACTGCCAGCCCTCTTCATCAGGACTCAAATGGTACCTCTTCCGAGAAGTCTTCTCTGACCCCCCAGGCTATAGTAATTTGCCCCTGTATCACTTCTAGTACCTTGTCCTTCACAGCTAGGTGATCATATCATTCAAAGTTCAACCCGGACACTGCTAGGATGAAGGGGTGCTTTGGTTGCTGGTTTGGACAACACTTACAGATGTGAGATTATCCTCTTTGTAGCCTTTTTGTCATTCTGTGTTAACTGTTCCAGTGTCTGTCTCACCAAGCTTCATGCCATGCTGTGCCTGGTCCTGTCACACCTTAGTACACAGATCCTTGCCAGAGTGGGGTCCCAGTCAGGACTGGGTAACGAAGGTGATTTTTAGCAGCAGCTGCCTTTGATTATGTCTCTTGGGAGTTTTCCCCGCTGGAGGAGTCTTGTAATGATGAAATTCTTGCTTCTGTAGAGAATGTGCTGTGGTCCCTACAATTTAGCAAAGTGACGCAACACTTAGGCAGTTGAGACGATGGACAGGAATAGGTAGAGTTATCTCAGACCAGGAGCACTCCACACGTCCTGTGATTGTCAAGCACAGATTTGGAAGGCTGTTGTCACATGCATTAGTTTTCATTCCTTGAAGCCTCTGGATCTTTTTTTTTTTTAAAGATTTATTTTTATTTGGGCCCGGCGTGGTGGCCTAGTGGTTAAGGTCCTTGCCTTGAGTGTGCCTGGATCCTGTATGAGTGCCGGTTCTAATCCCAGAACCCCGCTTCCCATCCAGCTCCCTGCTTGTGGCCTGGGAAGGTAGTTGAGGACAGCTCAGAGCCTTGGGACCTTGCACCCGTGTGGGAGACCTGGAGGAAATTCCTGGCTCCTGGCTTCAGATAGGCTCAGCACTGGCCGTTGTGGTCACTTGGGGAGTGAATCATCAGACGGAAGATCTTCCTCTCTGTATAACTGACTTTGTAATAAAAATAAATAAATCTTTGAAAAAAGTTTATTTTTATTTGAAAGGCAGATTTACAGAGAGGAGAGGCAGAGAGAAAGATCTTCCATCCTCTGGTTCACTCTCCAAAAGGTCGCAACAGCTGGAGCTGAGCTGATTTGAAGCCAGGAGCCAGAAGCTTCTTCCAGCTCTCCCACGTGGGTGCAGGGTCCCAAGGCCTTGGGCCGTCCTCCACTGCTTTCCCAGGCCACAGGCAGGGAGCTGGATGGGAAGCGGGGCTGCTGGGATATGAAGCGTTTCCCATGTGGGATCCCAGTGCGTGCAAGGTGAGGAGTTTAACTACTAGGCTACTGTGCCAGACCCAGCCTGTGAGTTTTTAATAAGATTAATTAATCTTCCCCTGCTTCCTGTTAGAACACAAGAGCTCTTTGAGAGGTCTTCTGTTAGCTTATGACATTTTTTAATGGTTTGAAATGAAATGATTTATTCCTAGTGTGTTAGAGGAATAACAGCCTTGAAGCTTTTATTTAGTGTTCATGGGTGTGAGAAGTCAGTCACTAGGCCTTTGTTGAGCCATAGGGAAGAATGATGGTTCTCTCACATTGAGAAGATTTAGATTTCTGCTCCTGTGACCAACAAGTGCCACCTTCTAGAGGGGCTGGAGGAGTGTGGGTGGGACTGCTAAGTGGGAGCTGTGAAATAGTTCTCCTATGTCTGCTCTTCAGTATGAAAACCCTTGGCTATTTCTGTGCTTTCAGGCTTTTGCTGTTGGCCGGTCAGTTTTAGGTGTTTACTGTCATTGTAAGATAGGAGTCGGGAGCTCTTCCAGGTCTCCTTTGCGGGCGCAGGGTCCCAAGGCTTTGGACCGTCCTTGGCTGCTTTCCCAGCCACAAGTCAGGGAGATGTAAGGGAAGTGGAGCAGCTGGGATTTGAACTGGCACTCATACGGGATAGTGGTGCATGCAAGTTGAGGACTTTAGCCACTAGGCTACCACCACCCCTACCTCCTGGACCCCTTATAATTTTTTAAACTGACTTTTTAAACTGAAATAGAGAGGCAGAGGGAAACAGACAGAGCTCCAGTCTCCTCCTGTTGGCTCCCCACCTGCCACCAGTGGCTGGGCCTGGGTAGGCTAGAGTCAGCTGGCAGGAAGTATCTGGGTCTCACGTGGGTGGCAGGTCCCCAGTGATGCAACTAACCTTTCTCTCAGGATCTGCAATGGCAGCAAGCTTGCGTCAGGAGTGAGCAGAGTATTACAGTTCATTACTCTGATACAAGACATGGGTGTCTTAACTGATGCTTTAGCTGTTAGGACAGTCTTTTTTTTTTTTTTTTTTTTTTAAGATTTATTTATTTTATTATGTTTTAAGATCTTCCGAGCACTGATTCACTTCCCAAGTGGTCGCAGTGGCTGGAACTGAGCCGATCCAAAGCCAGGAGCTTCTTTTGGGTCTCCCACATGGGTGCAGGGTCCCAAGGTTTTGGGCCATTTTCAACTGCCTTCCCAGGCTGCAAGCAGGAGCTAGTTGGGAAGTGGGGTCTTTGGGATTAGAACTGGTGGTCATATGGAATCCCAAAATGTGCAAGGTGAGAAGTTTTAGCCACTAGGCTACCGTGCTGGACCCTAAGATTTATTTTTATTGGAAAGTCAGATATACAGAGAGGAAGATCTTATGTCTGTTGATTCACTCCTCAAGTGGCCGCAGTGGCCAAAGCTGAGCTCTGAAGCCAGGAGCCAGGAGCCTCGAGCCTCCTGGATATTTATCTGCTAGACTACCGCGCCGGGCCCAGGGCAGTCTTTTAAAGAAAATATTTAGTAGTAGCTATTTAGTAATAGCTATCTAGCAAGTTTTTGGAAATTAACCATTTTGCTTTCATTTATTGTTATTATTATTTTTTTAATAGTTCTTTTTTTTAAAAAGATTTAATTTTATTATTTTTTTATTGGAAAGGCGGATATACAGAGAGGAGAGACAGAGAGGAAGATCTTATGTCCGTTGATTCACTCCCCAAGTGGCTGCAATGGCTGGAGCTGAGCTGATCCAAAGCCAGGAACCAGGAGCCTCTTCCTGGTATCTCACCAGGGTGCAGGATCCCAAGGCTTTGGGCTGTCCTTCACTGCTTTCCCAGGCCACAGGCAGGGGGCTGGATAGGAAGTGGGGCCGCCGGGATGAGAACCGGCGCCCATATGGGATCCCGTTACGCTCAAGGTGAGGACCTTAAGCACTATGCTATTGTGCCAGGCCCTGTATTGGTCTATTTCCTAAGTGGTTTGACCCAGGCAAAGCCAGCCACATCTCCCACATGGGAGGGAAGGCCCCTAACACTTGGACCATCGTCCATTGCTTTCCCAGGCATGTTATTATTGAAGAGCTAGGTTGGAAGTGGGGCATCTGGAACATGAACCAGAATACTAGGGTTGCGGGCAACAGCTAAACTCACTATACCACAGTAACGGCCCCTGGGTAATGCTTTAGGGTAGGGAATAATGGATAAGAACAGAGGAAATACGGAAAACTTAAATTCACAGGTATGGGTTGAGGCATTCACCTCTTACCAAATCGTTTATCTATTTGACAAGCTTTATTTTTCTATTTATTACCTGTTTATTCATTAGCAAGAGGGATTGATTGATCAAATGGAACCAGGAAGAAGAGATTCAGAGAGCGTATTATTGTTTCCTGATAATGGGCAATCAATGTCTGCCACTGAATGAAAATGATACCTGGGAGGTGGATCTTAGGGGTGCAAGGAGCCTGGTAAGATTGAGAAGATAAAAAAGTTAAAAAGTTCAGTGTTATTTTCTGTAATGTCTATCTCATTCTGCAATGTCAGCATTAATTGATTCATTTGTGAGAATGGGGTCCTGTCAATCTCAGTATCTTCCACTGGGCCCTATCTTATAAAGGTTCTGCTGCTTCACAACATCACACTGGGCTACAAGCTCCCAGCATATAGACCTTTAAGGAAATACACCCATGTCCAAACTGTAGTGGGTGTTTCATAAAGAATGCTAGGTGGGGTCCAGCACAGTAGCCTAGTGGCTAAAGTCCTCACCTTTCATGCTCTGGGATCCCATATGGGTGCCAGTTTGTATCCTGGCCTCCTGCTTCCCATTCAGCTCCCTGCTTGTGGCCTGGGAAAGCAGTTGAGGAAGGTCCAAAGCCTTGGGACCCTGCACCCACGTGAGAGACCCAGAAAAGGCTCCAGGCTCCTGATTTCAAACTGGCTCAGCACTGGCCGTTGCCGTCACTTGGGGAGTGAATCAACGAACATAACATCTTCCTCTCTGTCTCTCCTTCTCTTTGTATCTGATTTTTCAATAAAAATAAATAAATCTTCAAAAAAGAAATGCTCAGTGGCTGAGCCCAGAGTGATGGATCAGTGGCTAAATCCATGCCTTGAATGTGCCGGGAACCAATATAGGTGCTGGTTTGTGTCCCAGCTGCTCCACTTTCCAGGTTATTCCCTGTTTGTGGCCTTGGAAAGCAGGGGAAAATTAATTCATCTT